GCAATGCGCATAATGTGAACGCAGCTTTCCTTTCATATATAAAACTGCTTCAAGATAGATGCACGCTCCTACCCATGGGAGTTGGGGATTCCATCCCCTCACCAAGGAAGCCCGCTGAATGTCTGGAGGCATCTCGCTATCTTTCAACCCAACTTTGTTCACACGTTTTATTTATCATTCTCAGCTTAAAAGAAGAGAAAGGAATACAACATGCATCATGTTTTGCTTCTGGAAGAGAGGCATGAGAGAAATGGAATAAATGAATAAAACATTAGTTTTGATTTGGAAGATCTTAAGCAATATGGGTCCCCGGTTATGTCTTCATACACTTTGTGATCCCTCATTGTAGTAACAGGGGGTTGGCAATATGTATGATTGTGGTTCCTTATGTCAGAGCTGTCTCAAAGGTTTGTATGCATTTGAAACCGTGGGCTGAGCTAAGCTATTCATATAGCAACAGTTCTTACACTCTGGCAAAAAAAAAACACCTATATGTTTTCATAAACAAAGACATTTAATAAATAAATAAACCCTTTTAAAATCTCAGGACCTTGATTTTGGAATGAAGACCGCCATCACGTCTTCACTACCCTTGTTAATAGAGATTTGAACACAACCTACTGTACTTTGGCTGAAGATGATTATAATTCTTCAGGCAATCCGAAGCTGGACAGCTCAGGTCTCCAAACTGGGGGAATAAAATCATAAAGTCAAGATTTTACTTTCATACTTAGAAATGCGATCCTGAATAGGACTCCGGATGTCCTACTTTAAGGTCAGAATGGAAACTTGCATTGTATATTGAAGGAAATAGTTTTCAATACATTGATATATTCGGGGCTAAGGCAGAAGTGATAGACCCATAGAATTCAATCAATGTTTACCAAGATCTGCCTTGTGATTTTCTTAAGTGTTCTTTTCTTGAAAAAACAGCTTCTGTTTTTCAATCCTCTTCTCGGAATGCTTGAGAATTTCTTTTTAATCACTCTCAGTAATGTTATTGGGCTTATCTTATTCTCAAATTGTGATGGAATTGTCTATGGAGATTCTCAATCGCCCAAGTCGTGGTTGTCCCAAAGGTGCTTTTTCCAAAAGGCAGCTGGACTTCTTGGGTTTTTTTCTTTGAAAAGGTTCTTGCTTCTCATCCAAGAAGTTTCTTCAATTATGACAGAATTATTACTGATGGAATTTTATGTGACATCACTGTCTAAAATCCTACAGCCTGGTTTTTCACATTTCCTAATTCCATCCTGATGTCTCACCTTGATGAACTCAACAAGAACAATAAAAAAGTGTCTCCAGAAGCTGTGAATGCTCCAACACTGGAGGTTTTTAAGAAGAGACTGGACAGCCATTTGTCTGAAATGGTATAGGGTTTCCTGCCTGAGCAAGGAGTTGGACTAGATGACTTCCAAAGTCCCTTCCAACTTTATTATTATTATTATTATTATTATTATTATTATTATTATTATTATTATTATTATTATTATTATTATTATTATTATTATTATTATTATTATTATTATTATTATTATTATTATTATTATTATTATTATTATTATTAATAAAATTCTACAGCCTGGTTTTTCACATTTCCTAATTCCATCCCGATGTCCATCCTTGATGAACTCAACAAGAACAATAAAAAAGTGTCTCCTTATACCTGGAGACAACCCAGAGGAATATCTAACCTTGCAAACCATGTGACATACTTTGAATCTTTCTCACACCAGTGAATCACAGGTGCTCTTTGGACCGCAAAGACTACGATCCAGAGCTGAGGTGATTTATGATGCTGGAATAAGGAGTCCAATGATACCTGGAGAACTGAAGTTGCATCTGGAGAGGGAGGAAGTACACAGAAAATAAATGAATGCCGGCCTATAAATAGCAGATTTTAGAGATATTGGCTCTTGTTCTATAAATCTAACCTGATATACTGCAAAACATATAAAATGGTTGGGTTTGCATATCATACTAAGGCCTACTTTTACTCAACCAGGATTTATTGAATAAGCTACTCTTTGATGACTTCCCTCACACGCTAAATGATAAAACATAATTTCATGCCAGTGAATTCTGCTGTGAATTCTGGTTGGGGAGGGTGAAAGAGAGAAATACTATTCCATTATTCCACTTCCATTCTGAGTTAATCATATTGTTCCGACATTTTCAACTGGTGGTTCTACACAGCTGCCTAGGTTTGTATCTCAATAGTCCTCATTAGAAGAAATCTGTTTTGCATTGTAGCTGATTGGCACACTGAATCAATCATCTGATCCATTGATTGCTTCTGAAATTATTTTCATTCTTTAGTAATACACCTTTCCTCCCCTACCTTCAGACTCTGATTAAATCCAGGCAAGGCCCATCAGTGTCTGACAAATATATGGGGGGGAGATTCCTTGGGACAGGAAAGGACAAAGAAGATCCCAGCTTTTTCTTATTGAGGAGCACTAGAGCATGTACATCTACTCATGGCCCTGATAAATGCAGACTGATGCATTATGCCAGCCAAATGGAGTTTATGGATTGTGTCTCACGATTCATAATTCTCTGAGGTTGTGCTTCTGAATTAGACTTTGGCTGCAGCTTGGAGGACAACATTCTGAACGAAGCATTGTTATTCCTGTTCCAGATATATTCCTTGGTCCTATCAAGGGACAATTCTTTGAGGCAAGATGGGCAGCCTATAAATTTTATAAAATAAAATTATTTGGGGTCCCCTTTTAAGGGGACACAAAATCTTATCAGCATGTTCATTCCCTCACACAAAAATGGTAAGGATTGACTTCTGACTATAGGTATGTGGTATAGTTTGGAAGGATCATCCATAAACAAAGAAAAACAAACCAGGTACAGATGGATACATTTAGCTGAAGAGATTCGGGGCCAAATGTCAAGCTATTAGGTGCATTAAACCAGCCAGATGTCTAGAGAAATGCTAGCCAATTTCCAGTGCATTCGCTCGACCTGGTCCCTGAAGCATTTAGTTGTTTGTTTTGAACATTGGATCCCAACATCTTGATTCAATATGAATACATTCACCAATTTAGCATTTTAAAGAAAGTTTAGAAGTAGTCAAGGATAGGCCACTTGGTGTCTTCCAGATGCTGTAGATTTCAACTTACAGTCATAGCAAACAATGGGAAAGGACTGTATCTAATCCAAACATCTGAAAAAAAAAACAAACCAGGATATCTGAAGGATAATGTTGTGGGCATAAGAAATTGGCCTCTATTCAAGTAGGCCATCCAATTTATCTAGTTAAGCTATGGACTGTCCAAGGTTCTACCACAAGAGCTGGAAAACTGCAGCCACAGGACAGTGTGTAGTTTCTAAACTCACATTCTGCAGCCTTCGCGGTCCCCTTAACCGTAAGTGCTGAAAACATGCCGTGTTGAGATGGGAAACAAATGACAATTGCAACATAAGTACTAAAATAAGCAAAACACAGGTAAATAACAAAGAAACACTTTAATAAAATGACAAATGTGCTGTTGCAACACAAATTTCAAACCTTTTTGCATAGGTGTAATGTCACGCCACATACCCAAAGGTGCAGCGTTTGTGATGCAACGTTGGATTGCAGCTTTTGTCATTGTCCCCTCCTTGCCTTCCACTGTAGTTGCCTCTGCCTGGCAACCTGCCAAACTTTATCTATTTGGGGACACTTTCAAAACCAACGGGCAAAAAATGTGAATGCTTAAAAGTACATAAAGTCAACGACATGGATTATTTTATTATTAAAAAGAAATTAAATAAACTATCTCCACTATTATACAGCCTCAGCCTCACTTGCAATTAAGCCTAATTTGAATCCACCACAGGCAAATTCAAAGCACTACAAGCAAAGAATTCTGCTTTGAGGCCTTGAATGGAAATGTTGATGCTGGTTGACTCGCTTGATCAAAGTTGGTTGGCCAGCATTTATACATGGCTGTGTGTGCCAAAGATTCTTTATTTCTGGATGAAAGTGGCACAACTTCTCCAGTCCTTCAATCAGGGAGAAAAGTGAGAGATGAAAGATAGAGAGATAGAGATAGAGATAGAGATAGAGATAGATAGATAGATAGATAGATAGATAGATAGATAGATAGATAGATAGATAGATAGATAGATAGAGACTCTTTCTCAAAGTCACTCAATGAACTTTCAAGACTGAGGATGGGTTTCCCCAGTTCTAGTCCAACATCTAGACTACAGTGCCATGCTAGATCATTCTTTTTCTCTCTTCTGCATGTTAAAAGTTGAAATAGAGGATCAGAAATTCCACAATGTTTCTGAAGCTAATATCATGCAAAATTAACTCCTAATTCTTAAATGTATGCCATCGTGGATCATTCTCCTTTGTCAATTTTTTTGCTTATAACCTTATTATTCTTTTCAAATAACCAGCCCTAGCGTTACGCAATGGCTTTCATCTGAAGGTTTATTTTTAAGGCCATTTGATGGAATTGCCCATTTGAATCATAGACATTCACCGATTGAGTTGACTTGCTGAGTTAGATCTGCTGATTTCAATAGCCTTTTTAAACATAGGCATCCACAAAGGGTTGTGAATCAATGTGTTCAGATGAGGTCAGATCTGATCATCTCGTCTATTCTGCAGATTCATTTTGTAATTCCTTTCAGCAAGGCAAAGGAAATTCCAAAAGTTCAACAAAGTATCTAAAGAAGTCAAAAGCATCTCATGAGTACAGTTTGCCCACTCCTGATCTAGATTTAAATTAATTGGCAACAGAGACAAGACAGAGAAAGTGACTCTTTCTTCCGGTTAATTGTCACTTGCTTAGGTATTTTAAGAAGACATTTAGACAAGTTAACAGAGTTTAGCCATATTAAGAATGAATGGCAAGGTCAATTAAATAGAACCTTCAGACTTGGAAATTATATACCTTTTGATATCTACTGCGCTGATGGACAAGTCAATGTATGAGCTTGCATTCCCACAAATAGTCTTCTGAAACACATTTGGGCTGGTTGGTGTTGGGGAATTTTTATTCTTTTCCCAAAGAACATTTTCTTAGCTACCGTAGTTCTCTGAAAAGGAAGGAAAGGCCATCAGAACATGTGCAGAGATTTTTCACCATTGTGGAGTGAGGCAAATATGGTTTTGCCCATGGCGCGTCAACTCCCAGAGACTCTCTTTCAGAATAACAGGATAACAGAGTTGGAAGGGACCTTGGAGGTCTTCTAGTCCAACCCCCAGCTCAGGCAGGACACCCTATACCATTTCAGACAAATGGCTGTCCAATCTCTTCTTAAAAACCTCCAGTGTTGGAGGTTTCACAGCTTCTAAAGGCAAGCCAGTTCCACTGGTTAATTGTCCTCATTGTCAGGAAATTTCTCCCTATTTCTACATTGTTTTGTTTTGTTTTGTTTTCCCCTTGATTAGCTTCCATCCCTTTGCTGCTTAAAATAAGCCATGGGAAAGAATGATTCTGTCCTCAGTTTAAAAGCAGTCCCCTTTTACTCATGCTTAAGGCAGAGAAAGCATGGTTGCATGCCATGTTTGTATAGATTTAAAAAGACTAAAGCCAAAACATGCACATTACCTTTTTTTAAAAAAAAAAAAGAGGAGGTGGAGGAGGAATTCTGATTGCAGATAACCGCTCAATTTGATTTAGTGTCGAATGATTGTGATGGGGTTGATAACTCGGCATTCATCAGTAATTCATCTTCTCTGGGTAGAAATTTACCGCAAAGCCAGAGCTTTCCCATCCCTGACAAGTCCTATTAATCTTCTTCAGACACATTTCAATAGGTGTCTCCATCTCAGCCCTTCATCTAAACACTCTGAGTGTTGCCAGAGACTGGGAGATGCCTTCATTTCAGATTCCACAAGGAGACAAGATGGAAGAGGGAACTTCCTTAAGGTGGGGGCAGAGGTTTTTTTTTTAATCCTCCCTGTCCATTTAGTCTTTTGTCACTCATGGATAACTCTCTTTAACCCAACCTGGAAAGGAAAATATTACTTTTTCTGAAAGGGCAGCCCTTCTCTAATCTGCCACCCCGAATGCTTGGGATTCTATCCCTTGCCATACCCAACTTACCCATATTAAGTAGCCGTGGAGCGATAAATGCTTTTCTTTGTGTTACCCTAATGAAGCACGTTGAGAAATGTTGTGCTTTTTTTAGGAGTGATCTGATGCAACCCACCCAGTTTAGTCAACTTGCTCTAAACTAGCAATCTTCAGATGTGATGGACTGTCTCTCCCATCATTCTGATCCAGTCAATACACTGGCTTGGGCTGATAGTATATGTAGTTTAGCACATTTAGAAGGCGCCAAAGAGTGATAGGAAAAGTTGGGCTGGACTAAGCGGTATGAGTTTAAGAAAGCCAGCAGTGCTTGATCTGAAATCTCTCTTTAGAAAATAACTGTCTTGCTCAGCAGACCCTGCCATGTAATGCTCATCCTCTCCACCATGAAACCACTGTGGCAAAAAAAATGGTCATAAAATGTAGCAACAGAAATTTGGGGCTCAATTGTAGCTTGATCCGTTTTTTAACACACATCAGTCAAATGCCGTTTGAGACCCAAGGACCATGATATTTCTCCTGGGACCCTCTCTGTCCCCTATCACATATTAGCTACCAAAGCATGAACAAATATTGCTCTGTCAAATTAGTTCTATGTAATATTTAAAGATGGATTAACTCTTGGATCGCTTGCAGCAGGCAAAGGAGATGGGTGCAAAATGGGTGTGTGTGTGTGTGTGTGTTGTGTATGGTGCCAAAGGATGGCTTGGAATTTTAATACAGTCATGAGTCGGTGAAGTACTTGTCTAGCAGAACAGAAATATGATGTTATCCTTTGGAATCAAATTCTCAAATCGGTTTTAATGCATGAGACTCGGCATCTTTGAATCTTTGAATCATTCACTGATTTGATGAACTCTTAGCACAGATCCTTTTTACTGAATCATCACGATTCATGGAATCGGTTGACTAACCATATTGTAAATCCAATGTGGACTTCAGGAGATTCACAGACTCCCTAGTGCTTAATGCTAATTTCAATTGGTTGCAGATCTTAGAGAACTAAGGAAAAACTTCTTGACAGTGAGAACAATTAATCAGTGGAACAGCTTTGTCTCCAGAAGTTGTGGGTGCTCCATCACTGGAGGGTTTTTAAGAAGAGACTGGACAGCCACTTGTTTGGAATGGAACTGGGTTTCCTGCCTGAGCAGGGGGTTGGACTAGATGACCTCCAAGATCCCTTCTAACTCTGTTATTCTGTTCTGTTATTCTAATGGTCATTCAAACATAGACAAGGAAAAAATACATAATGGGGAGAAAGTGAAGCAGCATCAACCTTTTTAAGTCACCCAGAATCGCTTGAAAGTGAGATGGGCAGCATACAAATTTAATAAATATAGTAATAATAATTTTATGTTCAATTCTTATAGCTGTGCATGCATAATCATATTTTTTGCTGCTTACCTCCATCCAGAAATTGAAAGAAGTATAATATCTCAATCAGCTATTATTAATAGATGCAGAGATGTCTTCATTCTCCCCACCATTATTATTTTTTTCTTTCCAGTATCTCCATTCCATAAATCGCAGATATAGGAATGTGTTCACCATGTTCTTAATTGCACAAGTGATGAGGTTGTTTTTGTATTTTTTGCATTTCTTAGGTATTTCTGTTTGGAACGCATGTGGCATTTCATGCTCTAGTAATGACATTCACAGGTGCACAAGAAAGAAGGAGATGGGAAAGTTCAAAGGTCTATTTTATATGCCACATGGCAATGTCCTTTAAGGACCACCCAGGTAGTCATGAGTAGCAGGCAACTCATTGTGTGTGGGGTCAATGGAATGGATATGTGGAAATCATATGTCCCTTGCCTAATCCTATGTGACATTTAGCCCTGATTCATGGAAGCAATTGCAAGCCATACCTTTTTCTTTATGGAGATGGCCAATGTTCCACCATCATCATGAGAAGTTTCTCAGCTGTCCTTCTTTGTCCTGCTTCCAGAAGGTAGGTGTGTTGGTCGCTGACTACTTCCATCAAAACCTCCTTGAGGGATCCCTACAATAAAAAGACCGAGCTTCAGTAGCATCCCTTTTGTCTCAATACATTAAATTGAGAAGGAATGAACAAACGTCAGACTTGCAGGAAAATTCTCTGGCAAGAAGGTCCAGAACGTCTGTAAACAGAGTGTACAAGGTCCAATCCTGCTAGACAGATTAGAAAGTTACTAAGGACAAAGGAACAGGAAGGTGCCAAAAACTCTAGGAGAAGTAGCAGTAGGAGCACATTTCCCCATCCGTTCATTTCTAAGCTCCATTTCTAACTGTTCAAGGCATTTTCTGTACAATACCCCAAATCTTAATTGAAACGGATCAAGAAAACCAGTATCAGTCAGATGGATATGGAGCTGTGAGGCCATCACCTTTTCAAACATCTTTCCTAGAAACAGGATATTTTGGACTGGTGTATAATTATATAGGTGTCTCAGGTGAAAGGAGACTTCAAGCATCAGGGAATACATCCCACGTTGATCCCTCCAACCACAACACCAATTCAAAACATCAACAAGATAAATCCAAAGCCAGTTCTCAGCCTATCGGATAATAAAATACAAATGCAGGTGTTTGTTTTGCATGGAAGAAAGTTACTGAGAAATTACAATATTAAAATGGCAGATTTCAACATGTTGCAAGGGCTGGTGTAAGAAACAATACACTCACAGAAGGGAAGAACATTGATGCCTAACCATATACTGTAATCTAAGTTTTAAGGAGGAAGCAATGGGAAAATATACCCTAAATTGGAATGGGACTCTTCCAAAATGTGTTTTGCCATTTAGAAATAACTACACAACCCATGAGCCACTGAGTCAACATTTCAGAGGTACATCTTTATCTAAACAGAGGATCGGAATGACAATGGGTGGGCAAAAAAGCAGCAACTTCCAATTTCCTATTGGCTGGCCAGGAACATCAGTAATTTTCCTTCCTTCCTTCCTTCCTTCCTTCCTTCCTTCCTTCCTTCCTTCCTTCCTCCATTCCATTCCATTCCATTTCCAGGAGGCAGATAAGTGTCTGCTACTGTATGAGAGACAGAGGAAGGGATTGCAAGATTGGCTGGGAAACTGTCATGAAATGCTGAAAATGAAGCACACATGACTATGGCAGCAGCACAGCAGCAGCCACAACTTCCCCAGAGTTATGGAGCAGTCATGGGTCCCAAATTCTGGATACATTCTGTACATTAGCCCACTTGGAAGTACCTTGGTTCAAAAATTGTAGCCCTATGATGTATTCATTTCACCCAGTCAAAGGTCATATCAGCAATAGCTTTCAGTAGTATAACATATGTAAAATTAGCTCATCCTTGTACTCAAAGCAGAACAAGAAATCAGTTGAAAAGGAAAATGCTTATTGGTCTATTGACTTTCAATGGAGAAAAAAGAAGGAAAAAAATGCATAGGCAAAAAAGGAAAAAAGAGGAGTCTCGAATTAATATTTTACCTTTGGACCCACCATTCTATTAGAGGTCAGGTAATTAACAATCTCTGGTCCATCCAAGGGGAAGAATAATCCATATCCATTTCACATACAAAAACACAAATCAACAATTTTAAGGATAAATATTGGTTATATGCAAGTGAATTTTCAAAGGAAGCACTCAAAAGTTGAAGAAGATAAAAGAGAATCAATTTTGAGTGGCCTGCCTAATAAATGGAGACCAGCTATTCAATAACCATCCCAGATTACTGTTCTGTACTGCAAAAAAATCTCTAAAAAGATCCTGTACATTTAGAAATGCTTTTGAAGAAAAAGTAACTTCAACCATTCTTAATTTCATCACCATATTTTTATATCTTCCTTCCTTCCTTCCTTCCTTCCTTCCTTCCTTCCTTCCTTCCTTCCTTCCTTCCTTCCTTCATTAAATGAATTCAATGCTACTTTTGTCCTACGGTAATATTGCATCTTTCAATACTTTTAATGGCCCTGTTCACAAAACGCCCTTAACCGGACAATGTCAAACCTAACAGATATATCTACAAGCTTTATTAGCCTAGACATTGATCAAATGCAGCCTTTTGGGTTTGTTTACGGTTCAATGTATCACACACACACCCAAAATAGGTTAATTCAGTAATCAGGTGAAGTGTGTTGTTGCTGAAGGCAGTTACAAAGAACTAAGCTTGACTGAGCTCAGTGGGGCCGCCTTCCAACTGTGCGTGAGATGGAAGGGTGAAGTAAGAAGGTATTTTTCACGTCTGACCTCTAGTACGAATTCAGGAATTTATCTTCGAAGCGGGTCTATGGTTCTTCAACCCCTCTGTCCAACGTACAGTAGCCCCCGAGACACTAGCTAATCTTACAGGGCTGTGGGGAACAGCACATGAGCATGAATATTAAGGGTTTTAGAGAGCATTTCTCTTTCCTGTTTGAGCATCTTTTCTGCTACTTCCAAACTAGTTTTATTCTAGTGAGTTCTCATCTTTGTATGACCCGAAAGGTCTCCTTCCTGATGTGTGGGTGGCTCATGAATGAACAAAACTAATTGCCCATGTATACTTTTGTTCACCCTTATAGGAATGGGCTTTTTTTTTCAAATGCAATCCCAAAATGAATCCTGAACTTTTAAAACCACCCCTCCGTCACGTTCCTGCCTACAGAGTTTTGCAGACTACACAAAAGCACCCAACCCTACACGGTGGTCTTTAGCTTGATTTCTAAGTGGCTGGTTTCGTTGCCATATGAATGTGTGAGTACATGGCAGTGACTTGAATGGGAACAATGTATGCTGGGGGATTTGCCCACTACATTTTATAACCATTAAACATGGATACGGGACAAGGGAAGGGAAGGTGGCAGGCCCCCCCCTAAAAACGAAACAAAATTACATATTTCTTATATACAGAATAGAGCTGGAAGGGACCGTGGAGGTCTTCTAGTCCAACCCACTCCTAAAGCAGGAGAGTTTATATCGTTTCAGACAAGTGGTTGTCTAGTCTCTTCTTAGGAGCCTCCAGTGATGGCGCACCCAAAACCTCTGAAGGCCAGCTGTCCCACTGGTTGAATGTCCTCACTGTTCCTTAGTTCTAGGTTACTTCTCTCCTTGATTAGTTTCCATCCATTGCTTCTTGTCTTGCCTTCTGGTGCTTTGGAGAAGAATAGAATAGAATAGAATAGAATAGAATAGAATAGAATAGAATAGAATAGAATAGAATAGAATAGAATAGAATAGGACAGGATGGATAGGATAGGAGTCTCAGACTGTAGCCTCTTCTTAAAAATCTCCAGTGATGGAGCGCCCATGATTTCTGGATGCATAGCTTGACCCTCACTTTTTTTGTGGCAGCCCTTCAAATATTGGAACACTGCTGTCATGTCCACCCTAGTCCTTCTTTTCTCAAAACTAGCCAGACCCAAATCCTGCAACTGTTCTTCCTATGTTTTAGTCTCCAGGCCCTTAATCCACCTTAGTTGCTCTTCTCTGCACTCAACATCGTTATATAATATTTAAATGTGTAATGTTTAAATGTTATAGTGTTTATGATTCGAATTATAATAATTCTTCCCACTTTGTGGGAAAGAAAACTGAGGTGTCAAGCCAGGGTTTGTCTAAAGAATTTCAGCTAAGATAAGGCTTTAAAGTCCAAGTTTTTAGCCCAGGGGGTGGAAAAACACGTTTCCATCGGATGAATGGCTGTTTTCCCACCCTGCTTCCTCTCCCTGAATGGCCATCTCAGACTTTGCTTCAGATTTCCTTCAAGCACCCTCAAATCCATTCTCCAAATCATGTAAAGATCTCAATGACCTTATTGTAGGTGGCAAGTTTAAATGTGCCATATTAATAACTTCTTATCCAAGACAAATTAAGTCCTTATGTGTCAAAAGCTCTTGGTGCTGGATTACCTACAAGAGAAGTATTTATTGAATAAATGTTAGATCCAATTTCATTTTAATGTGACTGACAGCAGACTTCGGCCTTTGCAAATGAGATTTTAAAAAAAACACTCCGATTTGAGCCTGCATTGCAACTTTACACCGAACTTGTCTTTTCTTATTATGGTCTTTTCAAAAAGGAGATATCAAAAGCAGTTTGGTGATGAGGAGAGGGTTTTTTTTTTTCCCCTTTCATTCTTATTCTTATTCTGAAGAGCTAGGAGAGAGATAGAAAGCACAGAGAAGAAGGGGGAAAAAAAAAAGGCCTGGCATTCAGCCTAAAGAGAAATCATTGAAACAAATTAATCCTATGCCGTTTAAATTGACATGGTAATCCATCATCAGCAAACTAAACTCTGAAAGCAATCTAGAATCGGCAGTCTTCTTTCACTGCCCCTGAAGGCACAAAGGCAGATAGTTTTTTTTTAAAAAAAAAAAACGAATAGAAGAGAAGAAACATTATAAAAGTAAGCAATGCCTTGAAAAGAAGGAAATATGGATGAATGGATAGATAGATAGATAGATAGATAGATAGATAGATAGATAGATAGATAGATAGATAGATAGATAGATAGATAGATAATGGAGGGATAGATAGATAGATCATGGAGGGAGGGAGGGAGGGAGGGAGGGATAGATAGATAGATAGATAGATAGATAGATAGATAGATAGATAGATAGATAGATAGATAGATAGATAGATAGATAGATAAAAGGGGGGAGATAGAAAAGAGAGAGAGAGAGAGAGAGAGAGAGAGAGAGAGAGAGAGAGAGAGCGAGAGCTAGGCAGACAGTCAGACAGACAGACAGACAGAGTCCTTGGTGCTTCTGAGCTTGTTGTTTGCAGATGTTTCATTACTCAACCAGGTAAGATCAGTGCCCTGATGATGAAGTGATGGGCACTGATGATATTACCTGGTTGTGTAATGAAATGTCTGCAAACCAACAAGCCCAGAGAGCATCGAGTACTCCATAATTCAAGAGAGAGAAGAGAGGAGAGAGAGACAGAGAGGCTGCTATCTGAGATTCCTATGTCCTCAGCTGGGGCTGTTTACCCTTCCAAGTGGAAATGAAATAGATAAAACCAGGCAAGTTATGCTCCATAATCTTCCATAAGTCCTCTCTTCTTTTTTACCTCTTCTGCGAGGAGGGAAATCTCAGTGTTTTTACCTCTGGATGGTCAAGACTTGCCGTAGCGTTTTTCTTTCTCTCTTTCGTACAAACAGAGGCACCTATACATGCAAAGGCTTCCCTGGGGAGGTCAGAAAAGTCAAGATGGTGGTCATGAGTGTGTGATTAAAATCCCACCTCCTTTTTACATGACTTGGAACCGCACGTTAGAAAACCAGTGTAGTGTGCTGGTCAATACACAAGGCTGGAAAGTAGGAGACCATGAGCTCTCGTCCTGCTTTAGGAACGGCCAGCTGGGTGACCTTGGGCCAGTCATTTTCTCACAGCCCAAGGAAGGAGGCAATGGCAAACCATTTCTGAAAAATTTTGTCAAGAAAACTACAGGGACTAATCCAGACAGTCACCAGAAGTCGACATTGACTTGAAGGCATACAGGTGATCCTCGACTTACAAAACATTTGTTTAGTGACCATTCAAAGTTACAGCAACACTGAACTTATGATCGTTTGTTACAATGACGGCCATTGCAGCCTCCCCCATGGTCACATGATCAAAATGTGGACACCTGGCAACTGGTATGCATTTATTGCAGTGTCCTGGGGTCAAGTCATCCCCATTTGTAACCTTCTGATAAGCAAAGTCAATGGGAAAGCCAGGTTCACTTTACAACCGTGTTACCAACTTAAGAACGGCAGTGACTCACTTAACAACTAGAAACTTAACAAGCAAGAAAGTCATAAAACGGGGCAAAATTCACTGAACAACTGTCTCACTTAGCTTCAGGAATCTGGGCTTCAGTTCTGGCCATAGGTCAATGGTTGAGAGCAATCAATCAATGGAATAGCTTGCCCTCAGACGTTGTGGGTGCGCCATCATTGGAAGCTTTCAAAAAGAGACTGGATAACCATTTATCTTGAATGGTATAGGGCAGGGGTCTTCAAACTTGGCCCTTTTATGACTTGTGGACTTCAACTCCCAGAATTCCTCAGCCAGGCACGTGATCAATTGATCCATCGATCAGACAGAAGAACAGAATCACTAATACTAGACATGCGTACTGATCTTTCAGAGGCTCAACTAAGAGTTGTTGAAGAATGGCCTAGAGCGGGCTGCCCAGTGCTGACACTGTCTGGAGGTGTGGACTTCAACTCCCATGATTCTCAACAAGGACTAGGGAACAGCAGCTTGGAAGATTGAATTGCTGCGCTGAATCCTATTAGGGTTTGATTGCTGAAAACTGTAGCAAAAATATCATTGGAAAGCAGTTATATGACCCCTTCTCTTTCTCTACAAGTGAAGTTGGAAAAGATGAACCATCAACAAAACTGTGCAGGATTCCGGTCATTCAGGATGGTGTTAAAATGTCAAATCCCCGATACAGTAAACAGATGACAGAACGTCCTTCCTGTTCTTATGTCTTGTCTATCCTGTGCACAGAAAAATTGTATGAATCCTTTGCTCAAACAAAGAGCGATCACGTAAAAGTTGGACTCCACTCCGTGCCAGGAGCAAGGGCCAATCAATGACATCCCGGCAAATTAAATATCTTGCATTTTAAGATCCAGTTCTCACTCCATTAGAGGAGATAAAAATGTGTTCCTGGAATGTCTTCCAAAGAAATAAAAAAAAAAATCTGGGCAGTCCTTGTGATGGAGTCTAGGGTTTTGAGACTTAATATGGCTGTCCAGTCTCTTCTTAAAAGCCCTCCAGTGATGGAGCACCCACAAATTCTGGAGGCAAGTCGTTCCACTGGTTAATTGTTCTCACTGTCAAGAAATTTCTCCTTAGTTCTAGGTTGCTTCTCTCCTGGATTAGTTTCTTTCAGAGGCCGGCCAAGAATATACATGAATGTCTTGTTTTACATTGTCATCCGTTTGAACCCAACCTTTATCCTACTTATGGAATCTCAGCATTACATGCACATATGAATCATAATTATGACAAATATTTTGCTTCTTAAGCCTCTAACCCCTGTTGGGATAGGCTACTCAGAAGACTGAGTCTGTTGCAATGGCGTTCACAATGGTTTAACCCAGGGGTAGTCAACCTTGGCTCTTTTATGACTCGTGGACTTCAATTCCCAGAATTCCTGAGCCAGCTTAGCTTAGCTGGCTCAGGAATTCTGGGAGTTGAAGTCCACGAGTCATAAAAGAGCCAAGGTTGACTACCCCTGGTTTAACCTGATACTTCTTCAGTTGGACTTATTTTTCAAAGACAGTTGATGACCAGAAGGAGGAATGTTATTTTGGATGCACTTCCAAAACCTTGAAGAAGAGAAGAAATCATGATTCTTTCTTCTCTTCTCTTCTCCTGCGATTGGAGCTACTCCTGTGTTTGTTTGTTTCCTTTTTTGTTTTTGTGCCTGTTTTGTTGTTAGTGTTGTTGCTTTTGTTGTTGCTGGGGTGGCTGTGATGTTTACGCATTAATGTACCTTGTCTTCTATGATTTATAATGCGGAAGTTTCAGGAAGAAGGGAGATTATATGCAGCCTGGAAATGAACAGAAAGTTAAAAGATAAAATCCTTGTTCTTGCCACATTAAAGCATTAGCTGGATTTGCACAACTAATAGTCAGCTGAACCGTGGTTTAAATCAATGTTCTGGATTTACACAATCATATTTTTTTTTCCTCCCTCCCTCTCCCTCCCAAATTAGAAACAAAAATTGCGACAAACATTTTTGATTATTTTGCAGAGCTAGTGTTAGCCTCTTACTAACCTTACCAATATCAGTTTTTTTAGTATAATAAGAGACTATACAACTGCCTAAAAATACAAATCTTGCTTTTGGGGTTATGTGAAATAATTCATACCATACCATCAACGGCAACAGAATTATAAATCCGTAATTCAAATCATATTTAAAACAAGAGGGTTTTTTTTAAAATTTAGAAACATGAAATAAAAACATAAAACCCCACCTCTCCTAACATTATTACAGTTGCTACTGAAGTGCGCATGAATAACATATAATTTTGTTTGGAAAAGTAATATCCAGGACAAATATGCCTTTCAATCCCCTTGGTTTATTTCAATAATGATTGTCTTCAAAACTATGAATTAGCAATTGGCTAACAAGCATAAGAAACAACTTGCAAAAATTCTGTAAAAAAAATGTGTAACAACTTTAAAAAATAAATGACATCAGCTTCAAAGTTTTTTGCAGCACAAGGCAAGGCTGTAGATTCCCCAAAGTGTAAATTATAGCCCCAAACCCCACACATACATAGTATGCTATAATGGAGGGAGAGGAAGAAGAAGAGGAAGAAGGAGAGGAGGAAGAAAAAGATGATGAAGAGGAATAGGAAGAAGAGGAGGAAGAGGAACAGGAAGGGGAAGAAGAAAAATTAAATAATAGAATATACAAATTATTCTCACAGGTTTAAAGCAAATCCAGATTTGAAAACAAGATACTGACAAAAGAAGAAAAATTATTGGGGGGGGGGGCAAATCCACTTTTGAATTTATGAAACTTAAAATGCTAGTCTTTAATTATGAAGTTTATAATCATATGTCTGTTTACTCAGAACTAAACCTTATCAAGCTCAAAAGTTATTTCGAGTCCATAGGAGTAAAATGGCCAGTTCCTGGAGTCCCCCCCCCATTCACCCTCCCACCCAAATAGCTCTTTCCAAACTGAGCAATTGGCATCCCTTGCCCCTTTCCTGCAAGGAGAACTTTCTCATGAATTGCATCTGAATGAAAAACAATAATAAAAATTCCTTGGAAAGATAATATCAGTGGGAAAAAAATGGATACAAAACAATGAAGAGTGCTATGACAAAGTGGCTCGGGTTACATCGGTAAGGTTTCCCCCGTGGATTATTTTACCAGACCGTGTGCATGCTTTAATTGGAATATTGGTTTAATTGCTTAATTAATTAACTAAAGGAAGGATCACTTTTAATCAACAGGACTACAAGTTCAGGACACCCATGTTTTGAAGGCAGTGTGTGGTGGAGGCCGTTCCATTCTCTTCTACATCTCAGAAATGAAGGGGTTTTTTTTCCCCTTTTCTTTTTAATTTTGGGGAATTATGCTGGATGGAAAGACAGCTGATTAGCAGATTCAGGATTCTGCCACTGCTTGATAGCATGCATAAAGTTTACCTAGTTTCTCTAAACTGGTGAATATACAAGAAAGAGGATGCCTGTGAAACACAATCCCAAATTATGAACCAAAAGAATATCAGGAATGTTTAAAACTTCTTTTTTTTTTTTTTGTCTCAAAATGTGGATCGTCAGAAACTTTTCAGGGCATTTTTCCTCTAGAACTGGATTCTTCATTTACTGTGCCTGACCTTATGGATATTTCTGTTCATTTGATACCAACAGGCAAATATTGTTCCAGTTAGCTTTGAAAACAAGAGGATGAGAAAGAAAATACAGACCAATAAAAAAATGACATGGAAAAAAAAATGTTTGGAGAAGAAAAATAAGCAGAAGGGGAAGGAATCAGGGATACGTGAATTCTTAACTTCCTCTTCCAGTCAAGGTTTTTAACAGTGTTTATGACCAGCTCGTCTTCATTGATTTGAAGAGTCCCAGTCTCAAAAGAGGCACTTAAAATGTTTGCAGGGATGTGCGATGTGCCAAACGCTTTCAGGGAAAAAGAAATGAGGATGGAGTAATCATTACAGGAGTACATAATGCAGTATGGGTTAATGTTGTTTTTTTAAAACAGTCTTCCACACTCCTGCAAACTCAGAGTGGGGTTTTCTTAGACTTTTTTTTTAAAAAGTCCTCTTTTGAATTCTCTCTCTTAAGTAGATAATACTTAACAGAAGTCTTTGGCATCGAGGACAACAATGGAGTCGCCTGTTTAATTAATGTGAGCTCCTATTTGTTTAATATTGAGGAGGAATGATAATATGTGCAGAAGAGCTAAAGGCAATTTGGAGTTCCAAAATAATTTTTAAAAGAAGCATGTTCATCATGTTTGTTTTAATGCTTTTTTATCCTTAATTTGGGATCTGACAAAAAGAGTTGGGGGGGAGGATGAGGAAAAAGAGAAAATGCCATGACTAAAAGAGACTGTAATTGCACTCCTTAATTATTATCAGATTATTAGAGGAAATGTGTGGGGTTTTTTAAAAACAGTCATTGTAATCATTTTGGGTTTTGTCTTCCAAACTGCTTTCTTCAAGTCATATTTTCTTGACGTGTCTCTGTCCAAAATAGAAAATCTGAATGTAACTATCTATCTTTCGGGATTTGTATATGTTATATGAATATGCACAGATACATGCAGACACTTTTTTTATTTTATTTACAATGGCATGCAATTCTGTGTTGATCTCTGTCTGTCTTCTCAGTTGGGAAACAAACCTATTAAAATATGCAAATGAGAGTTTTTTTCCTCTGGAGTTTTTTTTTTTTTTTTAGGGGCCATGTTTTTAAATTGATTTTTGGTAGCATAGAACTGCTGGATTAAAATATGTCTCCTGCTCGTTTAATGAAATGGCAATCCAGCAATTAATTCTGGAATTAGAATAGTTAAACTACTCTACAAATATTATTCAAAGCAGGTAAATGTTTACATACTCCTACAATGGGGTAGGGTATCTGCACATCCATACACACACTGAAAAATGGGGAAACTGCAACCACACAGAATAATCCCTACCCAGCTTTTATTTAAACCACACACATACACACCCCCACTCCTCTCCGTGCACTCACACCTCCATCCTTCAACTATCTGTTCAATGTAGTTCTGCTCAGGGGTTCATAACATTCCTTGCTTCTATCCTTTTGCGTCAGATCTTCCCTATCCACAGTCCAAAGAATTAAGCAAAAAAGTTATTAGATAACAGAAGATATTAACAATATGCCTCTTCTTCCTCGTCCCCTTAAAAAAACAGACCACACTGCAATATTCCTAGGAAGAAAGGTGCCCTCTCAAGTTAAGTAAGCTGCTTGAATTAGAGTTACCAGGAAGTAGGAGATATCTTAGATGAACTGTGGAATCCCTGTAGGGGTTGGTTTATTTTAGCCTGATGCGAAACTTCCTTTTTTCTTTTTTTTTTTAAGGAATCTGGTATCTAACATCCCTCTAGTTCCAAACTCCAAAAGTTTGTTTGTTTGTTTGTTTGTTTTTCCTAAGAAAGGGGGAAGCAGAGAGACTCAGCTCTTAAAAACTTCTCATCGAATTTGCATTGTACCTTTTGTTTTGTCCCCTTCTACCATGGGTGAATAGTGGAGAGGACAAAGCTGTATTGTCAAGGGAGCCCTTGTTTTATCTTTAAGCTGGAAAAAACACCCTCCACTATTTTGTGCATTTCAAGCTGCAGGAAGAAGACCCTTCTCTCCACCGCCCCCACCCCACTTCCCACTTCATTTCCTAAACCGAAATGGGAACACAAATGAAGACCAGACCTCTTAGATAATTGAGGAGCTTACTAAGTGGATGGGTTTGTGTGTGTGTATGTGTGTTTTTAACGCTGCGTCTCTCATTTACTTTTCTTGGATCTTTTTCTTTTTTCTTTCTTTCTCTCTTTCTTTTGCTTTTTTTCAGGAGCTTCTCGGGGGGGGGACCCCCAAACATTCGGACAGGATCACTTTGTTTCACTTTACTGATTTCACTCTTCCTTTTGGGAAGGGGAAAAAAAAATCTGGTCGAGTGTGTTGGGAAAAGAAGAACCCGTCCCGCATCGCATCAGTGATCACAAGGAGAAACGGGGGGTGGGGGGGTCGGCAGAGTTCCTTCCAGTAAGGTTTGCCTCTCCTCCGTCCCCAACTCTCGCTGCTTTGCTCCCTGTATTGATGGACCGTGGGACCGAAGACGGCGGGGTACCCACGCTTCTTCCCTCAAGATCTTCCACAACTTCGGATCAACGGAGGCGGCTTGAGACAGGGGCTCCAAAGAGGCCTCCCTCTTTTGAGTTCGCGCAAATGGAGCAGAGGATCGCCCAGACGGCCCAGGAATCGCTCACCTCTGCGTTTCTCTCCCTCTCCCTCTCCCACACATCCCCCACGCCTTTCCAGCACCCGTGTGAAGCCCGAGGGGGCACGATTAATAACTACAAGGGCGGAAGCAGGAATTAAAGAGACGTTTGAACTACGCGAGGCAGTTTCCCACTTTGGATTCCGCGCAGTCTGCTGAGGTTCTCTCACACCCTCCTCCGAATGGAGAAAGAAAGAGGCGCTGGTAATCTCAGAGGATTGGGTGTGGGGGGGGGGCGCGAATGTGGATTTTTATTTCTCTCTGCCAAGGGGAGAGAGAAGTGGGCCCCTTCCCACGAAAACCTCAGCCCGATTAGTGTGGTCCCAAGCCCATAAAACGATGCGAGTCCCTTAGTCAGAAATCCTGAACTTTCCCTCCCGCCTCGCCACCGCGTTTCCTCTCGCCTTCCCACCCCAGAAGCTGCTAATCACTCCGTATCGATTTCGCGAACTCTTTTCATCCCGCAAAAAAAAAAAAAAAGAAACTCTGAAAACATTCCGGCTTAGAATCGGTTTCTTTCTTTCTTTCTTTCTTTCT